GAAGGTCCGTGTGTGTAAAGTCGTGGAAGATCTCGTCGATCGCGGGATTAACGTGCGTGCGCGTCTCCCCCGTCGAAAGAAAGTCCGAAGCTCCGTTTGTCCCCTGGAGCCCGTAGGTGTGCGACACATCTGTGCGTGTCGTGTCCACCAACCATCTACCAATCAGCCAACCAACCAACCACTCAACCACACCCCAGTGACTGTGACTCGACGACAAAACCAGCCTTACGAATTTGAATGCAGGGGGAACCGGCTGCGCGAATGCCAGGCATCGTCGAGGTCACCACGCCGGCAACGCCTGGTAGTTCGCTTAAGACACCCAGCACGCCGAGAATTGACATCAGCAGGGCGAGCAGTTCCTCCCACCATGAGGACAGTAACTCCAGGGACTCTACGCCCGAGAGGGAACTCCTTGCAGGTATTACGTTCTCTTTCTTTTAACGTTGTGCAGTGTCGATACGTGACAGTAAAATCAAAATTGTAAACCGAGATTTCTGGATGATCGACTGATGCTAAAGATCAGGCTGTGGTTACAGCGGATACGTATTCGCAGAAGTACGTTCGTTTTGGCGAAGTCGATGCGTCGATGTAATCGAATATTTAGGCGACAGAACAAGTAGCATGTTGCGCCTCTGTATTGAGTCTACTTTTTCAAGAAAATTCACGGTTTACGTGTTTCTAAGTCGTTTAGCTTTTGACGCGGTAGTGCAAACATCGTATTAAGATCGTATCTTAATGCCATATGTTCGCGACCTTCGATTCGTTCTCCTTTAAGGTTGGAAAAGTATGGTTTAGATTCTGACACCGGGCTTCGGATAATTGTACAGATATTTTTGAAAATATGCTTCGCAGTCTGTGAATGAAAATTAATCGGAACGCTAGTTTGTCCGAATACTCGATCGGTATAACCGTGGCCTAATATCCAACGAAAGAACGCTCGCGTGTCTAACCAGCGCCGACTTCATCCACTTTAGCCATGGCCTTAAGGCTCGTACAGACACGTCCAGCAATTTAGTCTATTGACGAGTAGCTGCTGACTACGAGATGGTTTAACGGATAGAGAGCGTCCGGAATTAGTAGAGTTAAGTTACAGGTTTAATTGGATGGTAGTGGTGTGGGACCCTATCCCGCCAGAAAAATCTAATCAAATGGATCTACTCGACTAAATCGTTTTATTAAACAAGTCCACTACATTTTAGTACCCATACACGGTAAGTTATTTAATTGCTCGCTACTCTATTAGATTAACGACTAGATTACTGAACGTGTTTGTTTGAGTATAAACGTTAATACGGGAAACAACAGTCCGGAAATCTCGGGTACACGCACCCCTTAAAGTAGCGAACCATGGCTGCACCGCCGCGTGGCTTCGGGTCTTCTAGCCAAAGCCCATCGCGTATGTACAGACGGACATATAATCGCAGGAGCTGATCGACTGTGTGAACGAAAATGCAACTAAAAATGAACACATTAGATGATCGTTATTTTGTCACTATACGTACATTGTTTACTATTTAACTCTACTACGGTCTTTAGATCGTTTCTGATCCAATTATTTTTCTCTGACATCGAAGAAACGCTTCAGCTTAAACAAAATACGAAGAAAGATATCGTTGGCGATTTCTCGATAGAATTTCCTATTAAAATTCTTCTTGAAACGTTACATCTACCTTCTGTTTGCTAAAATGAGGTCAAGATCGAAATATACAAATTTCAGAATCGTTATTGTAAAATAACACACGAAGAAAGACGTCGACTAAATGTAAAAAGAAAATTACAAATGTGATCGCCGGTAGTTTCTATGTTTCCACTGCGTCTAAATTTATGTTTACAAGCTGTGTTTCACAAAGGTGAAGGGGTCGCACGAATGTATCCCTCGACTCTCCTCCCCTGCGTGTACTTTGTAGCCCCACTAGGAAAACAAGCGAGGTCCGATAAAATCGCGAATGACTCATCGACGATAACTTCCGTTTATTCGAGTTAACAGTTCGATCTAAGAACACACTGACTTTCGCCAAAGGGATACCAAGCCCTCGTTAGAAACGAAATTCGGTCAACGTGAAGAGGAAAGAAGTTTTTCGCGTAGAGGGAAATTGGAAGTTAAATCGTTGCTGCGAGAAAATTGGATTTTCCACGGTCACGAGAACGTGCGACGAGATTCAATTATATCTTCAGCTAGAGAGTGCTCGTTAGTGCTCTGCAGTTTCTCTGTATCACGTGGAAATTTCGAGTGGCAAACAGCGACAGCTTGTTTCTTCGATCGCGCGAATTTCCGCCAAATAACATGCACAGGCGAGCATCAGGTGATTCTACTTGAAAAAAAAAAGAAAATAGGAACAGAATATAAAATATCTCCCAAGATATACGTTATTCGGAAAAAAGCGTTTCAAATAAAATTTGTCCTGTTTCGAGGGGTACACGACGACCATCCGGTTTGCCTATGTGAAGGCGTTTTCGAGGTCTTTCGAGGTGACCTCTGTTTCCTTAAATGGAACTATAGATACATTTTTGTATACGCCATTCGATGCAATTTTTCATCCTCTATAGAAGATTATTAAGAGTATACTCAGGAGTATTGAGAGTATTAAGAGTATTAAGGAGCGGCAGAGTATTAAGGAGATTTGTTCGCAAATTCATATTTCGTCGAACACACGTAAAAAGTTAGGACTTGATCAGGAATACGTTTCGCTCGTCAAATATGCCGTTTGATGCAGAAGTGATGTAAGTCGATTTTTTGCCTATTTGGTTAAACGTTTCATCTCGAAAACGTGAGCTTGTATTTTGTGCGGAAGTGGTGCAAGTATATCTTCGTTAGTTTCTCGGTGGGTAACAGAATAAGTGAGAATCGCTCGCTCGCGATCCATTACAAAATTTTTTGACAATTGAAAATTGCCTCTGGCTATTGACAATTAAAAATTAGCCGAAATATCCCTATGTATACATTGTGTATAGGATGTTTCCTACCTTTCCGGTCGAATAGTGTAAATAACGTAATTTAAAATTGAAAATAAGGGTAAAGCGTTGCACGAAGTTTTCTATCGTAAACGCTTCGTGGCGAAGTTCTAAACCGAGATGGAAACAAATTTGTTATCACGGAATACAGAAAATCGTAGCACACGGAAAGAATTAACACAGTGAATTGGTAACGTGGTTCCAATATCTCGACAGATCCTCTTTTGAAAATTTCTTAATTCGGAACGTAAGAAATTCCAAGCCACCTCGATGTCGAATTTGCATTGTATCAACGTACCGTGTTGCGATCAGAGTTTAGACATCCAAACAGTTGTGTGCAAGCAGCTTCTACTTACAGTAGAAATACTGTAACGTAGAATCCTCTGCTACGTAAGCATATTCAGACTGCGTTCTATGTTTCTACGTTACTCTCTAACTTTATAACAAAAGCGTTTACAGAGCCAAACTTGGCGCAACATTTTCTTCTTATTTTTCGCTCGTAGATTGCGCTGCTGTAGTTTTCTCGGGAAAATTGGAAATACCCTGTACGAGTTTGTTGTCTCTCCTCTGTGAATTTCGTTATTCAGTAAGGGTCGTTTCGTTATTCAGTATAATCCGTCGTAGGCAATAGGTCCCCTCTTCAATTTCGCGGCTAACGAGACGTTCGAGACTCTTTCGTTTGGTCGTCGATCCCTGTGTCTTTCCTACGAGTATAGAGAAGCGCCGTTTCCTTTAGAATTAAGTCGTCGAGGATGGAGGCGGTAAAGTAGGCAACTGTAACGATGCCTCTTTCCTTTTGGGGACGATGAACCTCTATATGCGTTACGTGGAAGATATCGATGTAACTCGTACGTGTTTGTTTGAGAAAAATAGCTGACGCAGTTTTATGTCTGTATACCGTGTAGCTGAGGATATTATTAGACTACTTAGCGTAGAGGAAAAATTCAAGTAGCTGCCTGGACCCTGTTGCATCATTGAACCGATATTGTTTAGAAACTGTAGAGTAATAGTTAATAATTTGTTAGTTATTAACGTTGATAGACTGTCATTTGTAGGAGCAACGAGCTTGTGAACGAAACTAGGATTCGTAAACGAATTTTACGAAATATAGGAATTATACGAGGATTTTTGTACCACCAAACGAGTATTATTTAATAACAAATCAAATAATTTAATAGTCAAATTAATCATTAGTAAGATTTGCTGATCACATGGGAAATGGTAGCCATCTGTGAAAAGATCTACCTGTTAAATATTAACTGTTTTACCGATGTATCGAATTGAAATATAAGAATTGTAATTCTTTTCACATTTCGATTTTACGATCGTCAATGACGAAGAGAATTATCGTTTTGCGACAGTTATTTAGTACAAAATGTTACGAGCGTGTTAAAAACCTTCTCAGAAATTGTTGGAGGTTCTGTCCTAATTCCAAGCAGAAATCCGTTCAAACGATTTTTTTAAATCTGGCGCTCTATATCTCGATCGATAACTCGATAAATCCTTCTTGATCCTTCGATGACAGATTACCGATATTTCTCATTTCACTGTGACAATTGCAAAAATTATTACAACCTCGTAATTCAGTTACGCAATTTCATATATAGTTTAATAACTTCTGCTCTAAATTTTCATTTATTCCGAATTCTCCCGTTATCTCGCTGCGCTATCGAAGACGCGAATCTAACGAAAATGCACGTCGTCGCAGTTTATCCTTTATGAAACGCCTAACTCTGTACTTTCCAAACACGAACTATTTTTCAATTCTCCGATAAAAATTCTTCGTTGCTTTATTACATCGTCAAAGAGTTAAATCGACGTTTGAAAAAACGTAAGAAGTTGGTCCTTTATAAATCGCCGTTATATACCGACGCACGGTAAAATTTTAAATTCTTCCACCGTCATCGCTATTTAATTCTCCTTTCGAAGGAAAACTTTTCTTACACTTTATTACTTCCACGCGTCACGGCGCGCTAAAAATTAGTCGAAGACCTCGATCAGCGCGAAGGCCGTGCAACTTTTCAGATCTTTAAAAGTTGTGAGAAATAATTGAACGAAACCGAATTGAATGCGATTTGTTCGAGCAATCGCGCGAATATTTTGGATTTGCAGAGGCATATAATGTGACAAATGGTATAAGAAACGGTACATTTCTTACGTTTTCGAAAAATCTACCTGAAAAATCTTCCACCGTATGAAATATTTTTTCACGTTTTTATCCTTCGTCGACCTTCTTTCGTGTTCCATGGTTTCCTAAAAACAAAAAAAAAGAAACAGATGGACTCGCCCGATTTTTGTAGCAAAATAGCTGTTCGACTAAAAGACGACGTTCGAACGATATTAGTTTAATAAACGGGTAAACGGGTGGTGTATCGATTCGACAAAAGGTGGTCGCGGAGGACGATTCTCCGGACGCGAAGAAGAAGGTTGCCACGAGGCCGGGTCGTGATCGATCGAGAACAGGCCTAGTGTGTTGTTCACCGGTGTCTCTAAATGCTCCCTCGAGATAACGCCAAGCCCTGTTTCTGCTCGTGTGCCACGAATTAATAGTGGTCGCGATGTTATGGGAGAATTCAAGGGGAACGAGGCCTAGCTGCAACTTTGTCCTATATTCCAGTTGCTTTGTTACAACCGACGCACACATATACAAGTAGGTAGGCGAAGAAGCGACACGATTTCTCTTCCAACAAGCTCGTTTCGTTTTTATCGCTGATTCGCAACGCGGTGACGCGATAACGTGTCTCTGAATGACGACTCGACCTTTTCACGAAACACAATGGTTAATCGTTCCTTCTCATTGATTTTTCTTCCCTTTTCTTCTTTCTTTTCTCCTTTCACTCTTTCGAATCGATGCAAACACGGAGGACAAGTTTCAACATCCACTTGTACCGTGCGATCTGTTTAACTGGCTCCTCGTGCATGTGTTAATCTGCTAATAATATTAGCATATTCGACAAGTTATAGGTTAGTGGATTATTCACATAGTCTTATCATTTCACCATCTTACGCGAAACAGGATAATCGGACGATTCGTAATTTGAAAAATTGCATTGTCAAATTTCAACTGTTTTACGAGTCGGGTAAGAAGGGCAGCTGCTATTGATAATTTACAAAGTGCAACTTGCAAAATCTGTACTTTTAAGGTTTCTATAAATCGGGTAAAGAGGGCAGCTGGTGTTGGCAATTTGGAAACTGCGATTTGTAAAACTTATTATGTTTATAAATAATGTTGTTTCGATTGCGCAACAGGGCCCTGGCGATATTAGATGGTTGGTAGATGATTTCTAGTTGGTAGAACGTTTACGAGCGTAGAACTTTGTATTAAATAGAATTATCGGATGGTTTATGATTCGTAAAATTTCATTTGTGCATATTAAATATATGAGATGATTTATCGATAGCCGGTAATATCAGTATCAATAATTTTACAATTTTAGTTCAGACGGGATAATTAGGTGACTCGTAGTTTCTTAAATTTCATCTATTTTATCATTCATAAACTCGTTCCTGTTAAGAAGATTCCTATTTTTTCCCCAAAAGTTCCTATTTTTTTATAAGGATGCCTGTTTACACGTGTTATTCTATCAGATCCTGTATAGTAGATTTCGATTCTAGTAGAACTTATTGGATAATTTATAGCTTGTAAAATTTCATTTATTTTATCATCTACAAACTCGTTTCTTTTTAAAGAGTTTATCGTACCGATTCTATATATTGGGTTGGCAACTAAATGATTGCGGATTTTGCCATTAGATGGTATTGACAAAATCCCCAATCATTTAGTTGCCAACCCAATATTTTCTTCCTACTTTTTCGCAAAGAGTTGTCTTATGTCCGTTTACACGTGTTGTCCTATCGGTCCCTGTATGGTAGTTTTCGATTCTGGTAGAACTGATCGTTAGAATTTATACGTCGTAATTTATTTATACTCGTTAATGTTAAATGCTAGATACATTAAAATATAGATGTTAGACAATTGTTCTATGGTAGAAACTGTATCCACTTTCACGAAAAGGTTATTAATAACATAAATGTCGAATTACTAGGCGGAGAGCCTCCACCTGGGTGCAAGCTGACTCTGGGCTACAAAGAGGACGCCCAGGATCTAAGATCGTCGACGGAGGAGCTCGACTTGCAAGATCCCATTCACGAGCAAGATCTGAAAAGAGAATCGAAGAAACTGGCGAAGAGGCGAAAGGAGGATGGCTCCATGTCCGATTATAGCGGCAAACAATTAGACAGAGAAAGGAAGGACAGCAATTGCTCGGAAATCGTCCTGCTAAACATCAGTGGAAGAACGTCTAGACTCTCCTCCGTGGGTAGCCAAGGTTCAGGAGCCTCTGGCAAACTTTCCGTTGTCTCTGCCACGTCGTCCAGGTAGATTAATCAGTTGCTCGTTCTTGCAACGACCGCCCACGTTTATGCAAATTCCTACTTTTATAAAGAAAATTTTCTTTCAGCCACTAAATGCGTTATAACGTGTATTTATTTGATTTATCTTGTATAATTGAGAAAATTGTTCGTGTTATGTTCATTCAAAGTGTATCTTTGTATCTTTTGTCGTACACACATAAGAACATATAGTTATTTTCATTTATTATATTACCAACTACAGAATAGGCGTTACTTTATTTTGCATTGAAAGCGATACGAAAAACTGCTCCAAGAACGTCCATTTCTTGCATATTTCCATATCGAAGATTATGTATTTGCTGAAAGTTAAACGCGTCGAAATTTGTTAAATACTAGTATATCGTAGTATTGCGACAAGTAAGCGCGACGTTGCTTCACTTTTCTTCGATTTTCAAACAGACGTAACGACTGTTCTAAGACTATCGAGTGGCGTTGTGATAGTTGAGGGATGAGGGAGAATTTCTGTAATTTGTATGTGCGTACGGACGATAACGAAAATTAATCGATATCGTAATTAATTATCAGGTCGCCGAGTCCGCACAAATGTTTACTGGAAACGTCGTTCTGCGGAAGCAAACCTACACTGGCAGACAACTTGATAGAACCGTCGAAACCAGAGACCGACGACCTGGAGAAGATCCTGCTGAAGCGTGAAGCAGACACGACGAAAGCACTGATTCCAGACAGCATAAAGGTATCGATGGTAGATGGAAACTTGAAACCAGATCCCCTGGATAAACCTAGGAGACGAGGGCGAGAAGAGAGGAAGGAGATCTTCAAGAGAGAAGTGGAGATCACGAAAAGATTCTTGGAGAAGGTTAACATACAGGTAAACTCTAATCGACAACAAGGACTGGTTTTTTTTTTTTGTCAAAAAATGTTTCGTCGATAATTTTTCACATATGAACGAAAAATTAATTTACAATATTAGTTCTGCAATATTATACATACGTTTTGTACGTGGATATTGAAGGTACCAGTGGCGAAGAAGTCAGGTGAATCGCCAAGTACAACGACGTCGCAGCAGCAGTCGGCGAGAAGTCAAGCGCAAGAGGTACAAAAGCCAGCGACCTTAGACTTCAACGACAAGAGGAAAAAAGCGCAGAACTTCAAAGAAATCGTACAGACCACTCCAACAACGAGCAGCGTGACCGGTAGTCCGAAGCTACCAAGGCATCAGAAAGTCCGCGATCTGGAAGGTTCGCGTACACCCAGTCCCTCTTCCGTTTCCAGGAAGAGCAGTTTCGCCTCTCTGTTTAAGGTAGCCTCGTGCTTCCGTGTTCGTAGTTCGTATTAACAGCGAATGCTTATTATGTATTTCATACACACGATCTGTCTAAAAGATGACCGAACTTTCGAAAAGTAACGAGACACGGGCAACGCTTTTGGCAAGACATTTTTTACTTTATTCGAATCACATTGCTTACTTCGGGTAGCTACCAATTAAGTAACGGTAGACTAATAGAAATATATGTTTTTAGGGACAGGAAATATATGTCTTTGCAAGTTTGTATGGATTTTATGAAGCGTCGATTGTTCGTTGCAGACTAACATGGAACTTGAACGTTCTACTAGGTACGGTAGATGTTTTAGTTTGTGGTGACGTTTGATCCTAGTCACGACAAAGAGCCGAAGAACGAAGAGTAGAGAATGAATACTCTTGCGTCGTAACGTCGAGAATATAGCAAAAATATCGATGTTTTGAAGCAATTGCTCCGGTATATATATCCAAATACTTGCATTTTGCATTTGTTGGCAAAGTAAGAGAGAAGAATCCGCGTGTATCTCGATAGCAGCAGTCTCGTTAAACAGAGACGTTATTCGCTGAAGTAGTTCGGTTACCTTTTGGCACAGATCGCGTACAGTAGAAATTAGGCTTGTACGCTTCACACATCGTCCACACCTGGATTCCTGGCTTTGTCTTTGTAGAAGATCCGCTAGCTTAATCGAGAAGAATCTCGAACAAAAGACACTGCATGTACTTGACCACCGCGTGTTCAACTTTTAAGGCCCGTACAGACAGCAGTGTGTTGAGCCCAGAATCGCCGTCTCCGAGCACGAAACCACGTCGTAGCCTCACCTCGAAGATCAAGGACACCACGGAGAGTCTGCGTAGCAGATCGAAATCGCGCGAGCGAGTAACCTTGGACAAAGGGTCTGGCAGTTTGAAAAAGGACTCGAAGAACAAGGGCGTGTTCTCCTCGACGTTGAGTCTGTTCAAGAAACGCGAGAGAAAGAAGAGTTATGACGAGGCGATAGCGGCATCCTGTGGCACGGAGTTGGATAGTTCCGGAGGACACCCGTCCTTAGAAAGCATAGGCCACGTGGAGTTTCGTTTTAACGCTGAAAAGGAGAGTCGCAAGGACGACTCGATCTTCATAAGCCTGCACGCGGATGACAGGAACTACGAGGAGGCTCTGCCTTCGGAGAGCGTGTCGATACCACTGGAAACGCCTACCAAGCTGCTGGACGAGTACGAATCGGAGCCTCGAACTGGAAGCATCGTAACGGAAGTGTCGATAGAGCATTATCCACCCACGACGAGGATAAAGACCGAAGCTTTGATCGAAACTACGTCGAGGCCGTACTCGCGGGACAGCCAGACCAGCCAGATCATACCGCAGAGCAGTTCGAAGGATTCTGAGATCTCGAGGAGCTCCTCGAAGGACTCGAAGCTGAGTAATCACGGGAAAACCAGCGAAACCGTTGTGAGATCGTCGTCGTCCATCGATAGCAAACCTCCTGCGGACCATCGAATATCCAGCAGTTCGTCGAAGGACTCGATAGGAAAGAAGGAAGCTACGAAGCCGAAAAGGAAAAGCAAAGAGCTGCAACAACCTGTCGAACCAGCCGAGATAGTCGAGGAAGATGTTTCAAGGCAGAAACAGAAACAAGTTGAAACTAGGGAACACGCGCCGGTTAAAACGATGGAAAAGAGGCCAGACTTGTTGGATGACGGAACGAAGACTGCGGATGGACTGGTGAAGACACCAAGCGTGATCTCTGATCTGGATCATAATAGTTCGGAGTCGGAGAGAGACTCGGAGATCGAGTTTGTTAGGAACAAGGTGGAGAAACTTGCCGAGGAATTGCCTGACGAGAGGAAGGGACTGTTCTACGAGGAGAGCTTCGAAGAGGATCTTCCTTACGTACCCACCACCTTACCCCTGGAGAAAAGCGTGGCTGTGCCGATCCTGCCTGTGAAACAACGACTTCAAGAAGTAAGGTAAGTGTTATTTAAAATTGTGCTGTTATTGCTCGCTGATTGGAGCGTACTTTTCTTTCTCTTTTGTTTCACACGATGTCTGCAATGTTGCGATTCACTATCCGTTTATTCACAGCCCTGTTCAGAAGTCCTGAGACAATTACGTTCGTAAAGTATTGGAAGGTTTGCTTAAAAACGGCGAGAAGCTAAGTATATAATAAAAAGGAGTCAAGTATATCATAAAGGCACGAGGAAATGATGTTTAATGATTCAGAAAGCATACGCTACTAATGTATCGACGATATTAACGAAATGTAATTCCAGATTCTAAGAGTAAATTTCCAAGCTCTACATTTTTAAACAAACCTCCAAATTCCAAACTTGGAAATATATTTCCAAGTTCTATTGGGTTGGCAACTAAGTTACCACAACCCAATACATTTTTCAACAAAATTTAAGATTCTAAAATAGAGTTCTAAATTTAAGATCTTTTAATAAAATTCGAAACTCTCAAATAGAATTGCAGATTCTGTATCTTTAAAAAAAATGTCCAAAGACTTTTAAACAGAACTGTATCGCGACCACGAGTCTTATCTTCAATAACAATACCAAATTAATAACGTTATTCACGTCCAGAACGATACCAATCGAGAGGCCGCGTTCAACGACGCCGATAAACCCGACGCTGCTCGACGAGTTTGTGATGCAGACGTCCCTCGACGAGCGTCGTGTTGAGAAGATGAAGATATCATTGCCGCGAGAAGATAGCTTTAAATTGAAAAGTCCGCGGAAGCACGCGGCCAACACGTTTATGGAATTCGCAGGCAAAGTGCCTGACGGGGGACGGAAGAGCGCAGGTAAATCGCCGAGTCCTCCTCCACTGCCACCGAGGGCCACTGCTAGGCCGAGCAACTGGATCAACTTCGAGGAGATACCCGAGAAGAGGAAAGCGCCGAAAAGGATCCAGACGATTCCTCGACCTGAGGACGAGGTGAAATCGGGTGGATATAGCTACGTTCAACCGGAGGAATGCAGGTGCGTTCCTTCTTGTTGAGTGGATGATGGAGAACACACTGGTAGATTTTCGCAAAGCAAATTCGTGCTTTTATAAACCTAATTAAATATTAGGTTGTCCGAAAAGTTTCTTATGCAAGTTTTGTACGGAAATAATAGATGCAGAAGATTTGTCGTTTTATTGGGACAAAGTGGATCGTTCATGATTCGGTAAAATGATATAAAAAGGAACATGCGCATCTATTATTTCCTTATGAAGCAAAAGAAACTCTTGGGATAACCTAAGAGGTGGAACTTGGTTGTAGGTAGAATTTTGTCATCCACTGGACGTTATAACAAGTCATGAAAATATTTGTTAGGTATATTCGTAATTAATTTCAGTATTTTTGTCTTTGTCATTTTATATGAATCGTTATCAATGAATGTTAATTTGTTACTCGTTACTTGTACCAGATTTATGTATCAACGTCGATCATGTTCATTCGTTGCTCGTAAAATCTCACCAGTGAATTGCTAGGACAGCCTCGAAAATGTCTTTGATCGGTCTTCGTATGTATGTTCTTGAACAATCTTCGGATAATAATATATTAAACGGCCAAGATTGAACAACCGAACGACGTAATCGATTTGACAAATCAAATTTCTAAATTAAATAATTATATGACATACGAATAATCTCAAAGTATCGCCAACGAAGAAACGCTATTAACTGTGAACTCTGTTGCGAAACAGGTGCGAGTGCCATGAAGAATCTCGAAGGGCGTCGATGAAGGAAGCGTCCACGACAAGGACTTCTTCCTCTTGCAGCAGCAACGGAGAACGTCCTTGTAACGGTGACAATTGTACGGTGCCTACGTCGACGTCCATGGACCGTGCCAGTATCGTCAGGTAAATGCGCCCGGGTACGATCGTCGATCAAAGTCGTATTGCTCTTGTAGAACAATCGTCGAAGACGTTAGTGATGAGTAGAGGTCTGTTTCTGTATTTTCAGTGACAGCTCGCTGGAGTGTAGCCTGAGCATCGAGGAGAACACGACGCAACCGTTGTTCACGTGCTTGACGAAGCCGTTCAGCATGGATCTGGACGTTAGGTCGAATCGGTCCAGTATCGTATCCCAGGACGAGACTGACGAGACCCTGCACCAATAATAGTTTTTTTCACGGCACGCCTCGCCTTATTATCCTCCTGTTCAAACAAAAACAAACAAAAAAAAAAAAGTGAAATTATCTCCTTGTTGGAACTGTTCTCGAGCCGAGTTCTCGTTCCTCCTTTCGCCGATCCACTTGAAATGAATCGCGTCGTTTATCTTTATAACGAATCAACTCTGCTCGCTCTTTCTCTCTCTCTCTTTTTCTTTCCTTCTGTGGAACGCTTTTTTATCGAACTCATTCTCCTCGCAAAATCGCAAACGTCTCACAATTCTCTGGTATGTGTCAATTCCAATAACGGAGTTCTATGCTCGTTTCATTGCGGCAACATCTCGTATAAGTTACACGCGTGTATCGACTTTGAAGCTACGCGTACTCACTGAGACGGATCAAGAGAAGATACGAATCGGATTCCAAGCGACAGAGTCGTTCGTTGTACGATAGACGTCGCGTGTAACGCGTTTCAAAGTGTCTGTACGTTTCGTAACGCGTGATTTTACGAAGGATGTAAGCGAAGATCGATATGTACATGTGCACTCCCGTTCATAAGTGTTCGGACGCCTGCTGGTTTTATGCGAAACGGATCAGTTAGCGACCATTAGTCTATATTGTTAAGAAAACGATGAAATCGGTTGGAATTTTTCTACGAGTTCCGATACTGACTTAAGAATGGGAGTGTATATCGTTGAAATTTCCCTCGACTTTTCTCGTCGTTGGCTACGAGTCAAGGCTATCCTGTACTTGTTTCTTCGAGGTTGAACACGGTCGAACATCGAACGTCATTGCTGTTTAACGGCGCTTCGTAGTCGATTTTACGAAAAACGCGTCACGGAAACGCTCCGCCGCATTTCTCGCTATATCGTTTAACATACACACATACATATACACGAGAATACATATACACACTTGTACATACCTTGTAACGGTCATTCGTTCGAGAAACGTTTTTAGTCTAATTGCGTACCTTCCACGAGAACTCGTTCGTTCCTTCGTTACTAGATTCGCGTATTATACCTTGGAAACGAGGGCAAAGGCATGCTTGCTGATGCGCGCGTGTTGACCAAATGCTTCCTCACGACAGACAAGAACGTGGTTCTTGGAGATCTATTCGCGAACAGTGACTTTGAAAAGGCATTTTTGATCGTCGAAGCTCCTCGAGGTCCTTCGTCGCGCTCGAAATTCAAAGTAGTCGATATCTACCAGCTTAGACGCTGGAGAAATAATTAGCAGGCTGCAGATCTGCCTGAAAGCTAAATTAAGCTACGTCATGTTACGTTCAGTTTAAAGATATTTCCTTCGATACGTACACTACCGAAACTGCGACTTGATCGAAAGATTTCTATTTATAACTTGTACTTTCGAAGCTGAGATAAAATAACTACCCTGTATGATTTATTCGCTGCTTCTTGCGATGATTACATTTAGACTAAAGCAAAGAGTACTCCCGCAATGCTCTAATAGCCGAACGTATTTTCGATGAATAACATTTCGTAAGATCTGTCCAAAGTTGTAGAAACATCATCTATTAATATTATTAACATCTATTAACATGACTCTGAAACGATAGAGAACACAATATTGGGCTTATGCAGACAGATTGAAACATTTAAAGTCGCTGTACGAAACTAATTTTTATTCAGCTACAGTTACACGACTCTTTTATTTATTTATTTAACGGGGAACAACCAATATTAACTATCTTTGTTAATATGTACTGTATATGTACTACAATGTATATCGTATATGATCGCTGCAGATAAGATTAGCCAAAATTAGATCAAAGAGTTCTATTTGAAATCTGTATAAGTATTGTATATCCACGTGCAGTAACGTGAAAGTGTCCAGCAAATATTATACTCTTGGACAGTAATATACGTATCGAAGCGAATACTTTTGAATTGAACATAGCGCAGCTTAAGCCCGTTTTTCGATGGATCTCCGGCCGAAAGCTAGTTTCACGATCGCATTTAGATCACCGTGAAAGCACAGGGGACCTCGAAGCTCGAATCACCAACGCGTGTTCTCGAATATCATCGGCCAACTTCGTCGTAACGAGCCCCGCAACGTTTTGTACACCGAACAGAGATAGTCGGAAGAGTATTATTTTGTCGATTGCGTGGCGTTGACAGTGGGGATCTCGTGCCACGAAGCAAGCTTACTTCGATGCTTCATCATATCATGTAGATAGACCTAGGTCTGTAAGTACCTCCGCAGGTGTAGACAATTACAAGAATATCGTGAAACGTTCGAACAGCGAGCGATTGTTCTTATCGCGATTCTCTCGACTTTCGTGTACACGACGTATTCTATTGAAACTGAATGCGACTGACAGTCTGCGGATTTTCACGCGTTTATAGGAAATTCGAAAGCGCAACATTGCACAATGTACGTGTAACGTGGAGACATACACAGAATATGCAAAAATACGGTGCTCCGTATGTTACAATGCTGGATGAAACAATTTTCTACCTGGATTCTATTTTCCTAATTATATTCCGGGAAATGTGAATCTCCGCGTAAAGATCCGCGATGATCGATCGTACACGAGAATCGAAGGAAACGAACGTTCGGACAATTTCATCGGACGCATATGATGCGTCCATTATCGATAGATCGTTCTATCAGTATTAAGACGAACGTGATTGTGATCGCATTTATGCGTGTGCGTGTGTGATAAACGCGTGTGCATTCGCATCGATGCACCCTGTGGTGCATATCATTTCCATATCCATTTGAAAAAGTCTCATTCCTCGGAAAGAATTCACCCTCGAGCTTCGAATATCAGAAATGAAACTCTTCGAAGTCAGCGAGTTTGACAGAGGAATACGACGATCTCCTATGGCTGCTGAATAGTGAGAAGCGAACGTGTAAGTGTTTAGGAGCTTAAGCACGACGAAATCAAACCGACCACGAACCACAGAATCGATCTGATTGCGTTTTCGTTGATGTTACAGTGTTTCTTTCCGTTGCTTCGTCACTCGAGTAACGTCGTGACTTCTTTTCGAGATCCATGTTGGCTGCAACAGATACAAGCCCGTTCCTAAATATCGGGACACGTTTATCACAAAATTTAACTGTGGGAAAAATCGTCGCAACGTTGTTTCCAACGTGTTAAAAATTTTGCTTAATTTGAACACTTGCCATCCGAAGAGTAAGATAAAGCGATTGCTAATTCGCTGAACATTCAGCTACGTTGCACTAAGAATCTCATCATTGACAAACGATACACTGATGAAACTTCACTTTGTACTATTATATTGTCCATTGCATTTGCTGGGATTTTTCCTTTTTTTTTTTATTTTATATATTCTTTTGACGATTCAAATTCGTTTAGCGGATTTCCGCGAATTTCTCGAATATTAATATTATATTATATTCTATGTCTCGAATATTAATATTGATATTATATTATGTATAATATTAAATCAAACTTGTCTTCTTAACGCTAGAACTACCAATAGTTAACTCGAAATTATTTCTACCAAATCCAGCCAAAATGACTGAGCTTTAAAAAACACGTAATAATAGAACATTTTTATATTTATTGATTTATTACTTTCTTACAGAAGGAATTCCATGTTATGTAGTACATTTCTGATATTATTAATCCATCTGGGACCATGATCCCTAAACGAGGATTCACACATTTATAAAATTGTAGAACCAGTCATTCTCACTGGTGTGGTATTGCTAGTGTTAGCATCTAGCGATCGATTCGGAATTTTCCTGATAACTGATATCGTCATATCGAACGATACGCGGTAAAAATTTGAAAAACGTGTGGCATGTTGTACGAAACGAGGAAACTGGTTAATTGGGGTTCTATAAATGGATTACAGGACCCTTTTACACTTCGACCAGTCATTTTCACTGGTATTGGCCCTGATACAAAATTATTTTCAATTTGAATACATAAAAAAGAAAATAAAATTCATTATATTATTCTTTTAGTTATCGTTGCGGAAAAAATATAACACGAAGTAGGAATTTTAAAATAAAATTGTAAAACCAGTCAATTTCACTGCTGTGGTAGTTCTAGTGTTAAAAATTAGATTTAGTTGAAACTGTCTCAACGAGATTTAAATCAACCAATCGATAGGTATAATCGTCAATTACCGTCGTTTCCTTCTCCACGAGTAACTTTAACAAATTTTTTCTGATCATTGCGAATCTTTAACTCACATTCTGACTGATCGATCGTTTGCAGAATGACGTAACCGAATTATTTCGCGTGAGATCGACCACTGCCCCGATATTTATGAAAGTCAGTCGAATTGTTTCGTAACTTTCGAACGACGGATCTCGATCATCCAAGCTTCCTAAAGCATCGACATTTTCGTTGTTTCAGCGAGCGCTTCTTCGCTCGTCCAAATTGTTCGCTACGACTAAGTTTCGAATCTTCGAGTCGGATGATTCATCGAGTTAGAAAGAGCGCAACATTACAGAAAGATTCTGTTCTGTGGGATGTCGAATTGAAGAGTACAAGGTAATAGAAGTAATTGTAAAATTGTTCGATCCTCGTTAATCGAAAGAGTCTTATTTAATGGAATGGATCGCGTCGGATATAGTGAGTCGCGAATGTATTTGAACACATATTATAAAACGCTCTTATGTACATATTATATGTGTGTGTTATATCTGAATCTAAAACTCTTGCAAATAACTTTTACAATTTTTACCAAACGTCTCTCCGGTCGTTGTCACGCGCAAATATAAAACTCTTGGTGTTTGTCAACTTTGAGCAGCGTAATCGCGCGATAGCCAGGTCGATGCTAATGAAATTTCAAGATGTTTTTGACATGACGCGCTTAATATCGTCCCGTTTATGCCAAAACAAAAAATACCGTGTATACTTTCGTTTTGTCGTTCATGGTCTTTGTTCTTGCCCTTAGCTACGTAGATGTAAAGAGACGAGCGTCGTAACTAGATTTTCCCGCGCATTTATGCGAAATCTAAAGACGCAGAAGCGCGTGGAATTCGTACGATATTATACAAAAATATAGAAGATATCCAAAGTATATTACGCTACGTCTTGTAATTTCTAACAAGTACAACAAATCTCCTTTAAAGGAATCTCCTCTCTACAAATTCGATCATGTTCGTAAACATGAAGATTTGCATAAAGATTCTGGTCCACGGTGTAGTTGTAACGAACGTGATACAACAACGTGATTAATTGTATCGTAAACTCGATTTATCATTCTCAGACGTGTCCAATAAGTTTACATTCGATCGCGAGTTTCTACGATCTGTTGAATCGCGTATTTGCGATATTGTTGGCATAAGAAGGACGATATATTCATAGAAGGTCTCTATAAACGTTCAAATACTTTCGTGAACCATTGTAAATCAGGTTTTAGGGTAAGTAGCGATTCCCGCGAGACGATAATTGAAGAAGAGAAGAAGAAGAAGAAGAAAGGTTTCCGCTGAAATTGATCGCTCGGCTCTTTCGTACCTTTCCTTTGCCTTGTTAATCGACGATTAACCAAACCAGTTAGCAGGAACCAATTAGCTGTACCGATCGCAATTTAGCGATAACGTAGCGTACTCTGATCGGAGAACCCTGAAAGATTGTGTCAAGTTTCTTCGAAGAGGGATCAAAAGAAACGAAGATTCCTCGGCTCGTCGTCGAATTTTTCACCGCGTAAGATACGTTCCCATTAGCCGTGTACGATTATGCTAGTAGGCTGTGTTCAATTGCGGAACAATGTTCGTTCGAGTACACGAACAAGTTGAGAAACGTGTCTCGTGTATTTTCTTCGCAGCTCCATCTCGTGATCTCTCGTGTCCGCTATTCGTAAAATTCAAATTCCTGCAATTCAAACTCGTACAATTTTATTTAAAGGCGGTCGTCGATCGACCTTTGTGCGTTTCTTTGCACAATCTGCAACGAGATCGTACATTTCTCCGCGTAGATCGTTATGGATATCTTCTTTTTTTTCTTCAACCATTTAGTCCATTTTTGCAGTCAATATCTCGAGCTTGTTAAATCAATGACTTGCCGTAGAAACATGACGCGTCCACGTTTCGTGAAATTCGAATCTTTACACGCAACAAATATCTCTTCGCTGGTTTCTTCGTGTTGCGTAAACTTATCAAATGTATAATTGCTTCGTAAATTCGTCAGAAGTAATATTTTTCTTCATATCGATACGATATATATTTATAATATTACATATAGTAAACTTACATGTAATACTATTAATATATATTTATATACAGGGTGGTTGGTAACTGGTGGTACAAACGGAAAGGGGGCGATTCTACGCGAAAAAAGAAGTCGAAAATATAGAATAACAATTTTTCGTTCGAGGCTTTGTTTTCGAGAAAATCGACTCTGAATTTTGGCTCGGTACGCGTGCGGTACGTTATAACGGATCTCGCTGTAGATCGTTGTCTCGATAGAAAAATTAAAAAAAAAACAAAAAATAAAAAAAAAATTTTATTCTATATTTTCGACTTCTTTTTTCGCGTAAAATCACCCCCTTTTCGCTTTATCAACCACCATGTATAATTTTCCTACATCTAGCTATCTTCAACAATTATAATTTACCCTTGCCATTTCATGTTCCTAAAAACGATACCGCAACTCGCAAACTAATTCTATAGCACCACGAAGCGGTGACAAAAACAATGTAGAAGATATTTATTTAATTACAAGGTAGACGATATTTATTTAATTACAAAGTACCGGTGAATCGTTCAAACCGTTTCCCTACGAAACGCTGAAAATGGACACGCGATATTTTTCCAGCAAGTCGTCATCATTCGCATTTGTCATACGTAACGCGATTATTTTTTCCTTCTTTCTCTGTCTTCCCTAACCACGTCGTCCATTTTTCCTCTCAGTGTCTCGAATTTTTAACGTAAGTTTTCCCATAAGCGATAAACGCAAGTGGAAGATGTACGCGTCTCTTCTTGCATTTAGTACGAGAAATGCAACAAGATGTACGCGTCTCAGCTTGCATTTAATACGAGAAATAGAAGGAAATTGGAGGAAAGAGAAAGAGATTTCCACAATTTTATTACTTCACCGTCGGTGTGACAGAATCTGGTTAACACTTTGACTGCCACGCCGAAATCACACGTTTCGCTGAGGACGCCACGGCAGTATTTTTATTATTCAAAGCATATAATGGCAAAATAATGATAAATCGACGATGTAAAACAATATTCTTCCTCAATGCACCGTTCATCTTATTGGTGGTCACGGGTGACCTCTGTGGCACCTTGGTAACAGTTGATAGCGACGTATTATAACAAGACTTCGTTTATTTCAACAAACCATTCGCTCTTCGTTATTTCGTCGTAAGCAAAACGTGCAGAATATATTGTTGAAACGTGTACAAGATATTAGTAAACGGTATTTGCTCGTTCTATATATAATAGTAAGGTATATGCACACTTCTAACTTCAATTATATATATGATTATAAAGCAGCATTTACAATTATTTTCTAAGCTGTGTTTAATAATAATATTCGTAGATTAGCCCTGAAACATATGGACGCGAACACAGTGCACCCTTAGATGCAAGATTTGTTCTCATTTTTTTTTTTTTTTATCAATGTTCTAATAAAAATGTTTAATCGTTGAATGGGGCACTTTTTGTTTCAAAGTATCTTCTATTTATCGGTTATATTCAAAATGCCCTGACTGTCAATTTTCATTCAATTTTTACAATTGTTAGAAGTCGAAGCGCTCCGGTCACCAATGATCACCGTGGCAGTCAAAGCGTTAGTCGGTGCACAAAATGACACGAGTTCGTTTCGAGTTCTCCGATACGCATGTAGGAATTGAGCAAATCGTTCCGCTTTTATCTTCGAACGAGAAGAGGCGCGACTGGCGCGTCTTAAAACGACTCGCTAAACGAGTTAGCCAGTTAGCAGCTAGTTCGTCGAGGTCTACGGAAGGACGCTCGATCAACGAGTCTCTTCTTAGATGTTGATGTTTAGCTTGGGACCCTTCGTCGGCGATTTAATCTTAGCGATTTGACGCCGCAACACCGTTTTCCGCAACTTTTCATATTCCTACTCTTGCTTCGCGATTCGTTTGCGTTTTCCCGGTCGAAACGATGGAACCGAGGAAAAGAGAAATGAGACATTCTGGAGATCGTCTGCTCGAGACAGACGAAACTTCGGCTCTCCAGACAATCTTCGAGCGTAATTTAAATTATTCGCCGTACGCATTGATCGAATCGATCGAATTTTCAACACTTTCGCTGCGATACTCGTCGATTACAACAACGATTAGACTGAGGATTTTTATGCAGTTTTGCGGTTCTATCGACGCAAGCAAATGAAGAATCAAAGAAGTTAACGACTACTTCCGTTTGAATATTCCTTACATTTCCGCGTATTAGTTTCCGGTGCAGTTTTTACTTTCTCGATTTTTCAATCTCTCGTATACGCGTAAAAATCCGCAGCCTAATGACGAGTAACGCGAAGCTTTCGATGTTTCGCAAATATTTCACTTTGAATATTTCAACTCTACGATATTAATTAAATTGTTCGATCGTATCGATACTTAAGCATGCGCGTTTCATATTTAGACTGTGGATGTTGATGCAAATTTTTATCCCCGTCAGCACAAGCAACGTAATGGAAATTTTATATTGCCAACGAGTACTATATTTTGAATATTTCGTCAGATTTTTGCATACAATATGCAGTCCACATAGGCGGTATGTATATTTTCTACAAGTCTGTCTATGATAAATCGTTCAACGTACGTGCGTTCTTCCATTTTTCAATTTTCTACAAACGCATCAACGTCCATAGTCTGTCCGAATTATCGTCAGACGTTCTTTTCACCATCTGCTGCCGTTTCATTCGCGCGTTCGATGAACGTGTTTTAATTCTGTCTCGTTTCGAGAACAGCGAAAGCTTCTCCGATTGTTCCAACATTTTCCGATTAACTTTCGATAATTCGAAATAAGTATGGAGACGAGTTCGAACGAACGAACCTCTGCTGTATAGATTATCCGCACAAAAGTACGTTGAAGAAACGCTTTCCCGATCCGACGAACGGTGGGAAGCGAATAAAGAAGAAAACGAAGAAAAACCGGGAAGAATATAAAAGTTGTAAAGGCTCCTGCGCGCGTTGAAACGCGTTGCGACGCATCGACACCTAAGTTTCGCGTAATCAGCTTCGGTTTACCTGCGCGTTATCGATTCCTTTCAGTTCGTGGCGCGATATTGAACTTGAAACGCGTATTTCAAAATGTGGAATTTCCCAATTCCAGTGTCGTTATCGATACTAGGAGGTGGATCGCGAAGAATACAAAATCGAAGACTAAAACGAAATAGCCAGAAACACGGTTAACCGAGAGCCACGGATTTTCTAATTGCGGGTCATCGAAGCAACTAGCAACGAACGAACCGAGCGATCGTGAAAATTATTCGCGTCTACGTGATTCTGCTTTTCAACGTCTGTCGGATAAAGTTCGGCCAAGCATCGAGAAACAAAATACAACGATCAGAGTCTAGCGTAAATTACGTTCGGTATCGTTGCCACCCTCCGCGATATGTCGAAAACGAGATAGTTTATCCAATTATGATGATTGGTTGAGTTTCTTTATGTAATTATTCTATTTTAGGCTCATTACGTTCTATTTCTCAAATAATTTCTTTTGAAATTTTATTATTTTTAGTATTTTTTTTATTAATAATTTTAATTGAGGATTATTCTTTTTATATATTTGTTAAATTTCAATATAATATTATTTTTTTTTATGTATCCTTTATATATTATTTTTGTTATTAGTGCATTAATTGATTTAAATAAATTCCATTTGATTCGATCGAGGGAGAGTCAGAATTAGTTTCTGGATTTAATGTGGAATATCATAGAAGAATAATAAATCGGCATCTTTCGGGCCTTGTTCACCGACCAAGACGCAATTCTGACTGCTGCATCGATACAAGTTGCTTCCGTAATCGAACTGCATGGCCCGTAACACGCGTCGCGAAAGCTAAATCGCACGAAGAGCCCAAAACGCGCATCGCGACGTGTTGGAACGCGTACAGGAGCCTCGAGGGAAACTCGTAAAACTCACTGGGGCGTCGCAGCCCGATTACAACCACCCTTCCAGCCTCCCTTAGCAATACACGTCGTTACACGGTTACTTTTTAAGCTACTTGACGACTAGCGGACGTCTACCGAGATATTTCGATGTTTCTAAAGAAAAAAAAATATGTTGTGTAAATAAAAAGAGAATCGGAGGGCGCATGTCGCGGTGACGCTGCAGAGAATCGTGGTATGAGAGAGTGGGAGAGAAAGCGACAAGAGAGGAGAGAGATTAAGGGGAAATGAAGAAAAAGAAAAAGGAAGAGAGCGAGTGTGAGAGAAAAAGCAAGCGATAAGAAAGAAGGGAAGCAACCGGACGGAGAAAGAGAATAAAAATGATGTTTGTGTTTTGACGGCTGGCTCAATCATTTCAAACATCGCGTTCCTCTAGACACTAGACTGTAGAATGCTCTCTCGCCGTCAGCAAGTTGTGAGACCGGAGGCAGCAGCGTGTACCGGAAGTTGTGGAGTTCCGTGGTCAAGGAATCGTCCACGAGGCGAGAAATCTATGAAAAAGACGAGAAAAGAAGGAAAGGAAGGAACCGTTTGTTAGAAAATATCGCGAATGTTCAGGAGTGTTAATTATAGATGGAAATACACAGGTTTTGCAATGTTGATCCAAGGCAAATGGTTCTCGATGTGAGATCGTTCGACACGACAACGAGCTTCTTCCGCCCCATCTTTTTCCTGTGAAAAAATCTTCTGACGTCGCTTAAGTTTGACTGGAACGTGTTCGTAGGCCTCGTAGTAATCTCAGAAGATTTTATTATTATTGTCTGCTATTGCTATTATTCGTTAACGCAGATATGTCTGAATTTCCCTTTCGCTTCCGCCGTTTAATGAAATTGTCACGTTAACGTTTTTTTATTAATTTATCGCCATATATTGATACGTTATTCGTCGTTAAGTTAACATTTAAAAAATTCACGTTAATACTGCACCACAGACGAAACGATGTTCTTTTTAGTTTAGAAGCCAATCGAATCGAGAAAGAGTGCAAGTCAATTTTTTTGGTATTATTCGATAATGATTATTGTTCGACGTTGAAAATGAAAGATAGAAATTAAAATGTTATTCTCGCGTTGGTTACGAATAAGATTAGAGTGATACGATCGCCAGACGATACTCTACGAACAAAATTCGCATAAGATGGAGTTTAACCCATAATAGCTTTCGACAATTAATCACAAATTATTGTACGTTAATTAGAAAAAATGTAACACGGTGATCTTGCAATTACTCTGCGGAAAATTAGGCGTATCTGGGTTGAATCGCTCCCGATTCGATCTTGATGATCCTCCGGTGGGTCGTTCAGAGCTCGTCGCTGGTCGAGTCGTCTTATTGAGGAACCGGAAGTTGCACGCAAAGCGGTGATCATCGTTGTATCGCGGTGAAAGGAGCGTCGAGGTGACGAAGAGAAGAGCAAGGAATATTCGAGTAACAGACCGAAGAAATAAATATTTATAGGTCCGACAATGGGAAACGATCGACTCGCGTTGTTAATTAAAGTAATAGGGAAATTGAAGAAACAACTCCGCTCGGTGTTAACTGTAATAAGAATCTTTTTCTTTAGGCGCGAGGAAAAAAAGAGAGATGGAAAGAAGAAGAGAAAAGAAACGAGGGAGAAAGAAAAAAAAAATAGGAGAAAAGTGGCGTAAAAGACAAAAAAAGAAATCCGTAGGAAAGAAGATAAAAGCAAGAAGCTTCGTCGCGGACGGCTCTAAGCCTGTTATTTTCTGAGAAACAGCAAATTATTTATTCCTATAGAGTCTATTCTTATAAATATAATAACTTTCGACTGAGTTCCGCGTCGACTTACCGGAAGTAACGTGTTCGTATCCGCAAATTCGTTCGCGCGTAAAACGATTATAAGAAATTTCGAGGATGAACAATAAAAAAAAAAAAAGAAAGAAAAGGAAGAGAGAAGAAAAGAACGTAAGAAAGAGATGGACATTTTTCGCTGTATATATGTATGTTTATTCTCAAAGAAATTATACGGCTATTATTATATACATGTATATATATACATACACACACATACAAATGAAAAAATTACATTACGAACAAGATATAAATAAATAAATGAATATGTATATATATATATGTATATACAGAAAGAGAAGAAAAATTGGAATGACGAAAGACGAAGAGGGAAAAGAGGAAAAAAATAATGGCGGAGTGTGAATTATGAGAATAACGTATGATGCTACTTATACGATATTTCGAAGCACGTCTGTTTATGGAATTGTTACAGAATGAATTCAATAAATATTATCTTAATACGATTTCAATGCTGGCGATCTTTTAACGATGACATTGTTAAACGTGTACGAGAACAGCTTGCGATTCTGGTCTCGGTGCAAAGTTCTTCATTTTAATTCATCTACTTTCAACTAACTCTGTACTGAATCATTGTGTACTAATCTGATTTCATTTAATATATTGACTGTTAAGCCTTTGGATCTTGGATTTTGCTGGCGTCCTGTAACTACTGACGCGTTTCGTCTCCTCCCTCTTAGCATTCTCCTTTTCCTCCTTCGAGTCCACCGCCACTGGCTGATCGTTGTCACGCAGAACAATCGTTGCCGCTGTCGTCGTTATCATCGAATTCTGGTCCTGCATCGATTGCTGAAAATACGGCATAGATCAGTAAGTCGGGCGTAAAAGTACATTTTCTTCAATATGATAGATTCAATATTTAAGAGGGTATTCTGGTCTAGAAATTTGAAAAAATCGAAAATTTGTTCGTATTTCCAAAGTTTAGACATTCAAGAATATGCCCTTAAAAGGATTTTTCGAAATTTCAATTATTTTATGAGTTACAGCCATTTTTGTGACGCAACATCTACTCCGGTCCGACCGGGACCAACGTGCAATAAAACTTTAAACGCGTTTTTCTCGAAACTACATTTTCCGAGTTGGCGTGCACGATATCTCAAATTCTAACGAACCGATTTCTTTTAAATTTGGTCCGAATATTCCTTATATACTCCTCTATCGTCCGGACCACGCTCAGCTCAAAATCTTTAATATTACTATTTTTTAAACGTTCGGAATTGTCAAAAAAAACGTGCGAAATAAGAAATTTTTTTTCAAACGGCCGTCATTCTGCGAAAAAATGTCGTATTGACTTTTCCAAGGTTCAGACGATAGCGGCATCCATACTAATTAAGAATCCGTTCGCATTTTTTGTTTCGGGTGACCAGAAGGGTTGATATCACGCACGCCACGACACCCCATTTTTTTGGCAGCACCCACTTTGCCAGCTCGTAACTTTTTAAATATTGAATCTTTTCTTTCAGTGAATTTTTTACGTAATCTCGAAATATCAATAAACAAATGCTAAAAAGAAGGATAGCAAAAATATTTTTTGTTTCGCTTGTACAGAGCTTCAAAAATCGGCCGAAATTCGTGCCTCTGGACCAGAATACCTCCTTAAGTGTCGAATCTTCGTGAAAATCCTACTTGTTCCTCGAACCCAACTAGGTCAACTGTCTCAGCAATTACTTGGTTTAAAGACATTCTGTTGCTGAGATAGATCTTTTTTTTCAGTGAATTTTTTACGTAATCTCGAAATATCAATAAACAAATGCTAAAAAGAAGGATAGCAAAAATATTTTTTGTTTCGCTTGTACAGAGCTTCAAAAATCGGCCGAAATTCGTGCCTCTAGACCAGAATACCCCCTTAAAGAAAAAGTAGGAGAAAGAAAGATAATGATCCTGTCTGTACTGTAATTAGTCACCAAAGGAATGTTTGTTCATTTTAGGTGTTGTGAATTAATTAGATGGAAATTTTTCGAACAAGATTCGCAGATAGTTCGATAGGAAGAAAAGTTACCTGCATGATGTTTAGTAAGAAGAGAAAAGCAAGCAACGTTAGAGCACTGAGTGCAGCTCCCTTGTCACCTCCTTTGCCTTTGCCACTGAAAATATTCGTAGCACCACGATAATTATCTGAATAATTATAATATAAATATAATAATTATAATGATGATAATAATTTAACGACAATCTAACTAGCAATTGATTATCTCAGTAATTTAGTAACAAGGATCAAAAAGTAAGTAAGTTCGTAGCACAAGCTGTATATTTTTGTAAAAGAACTATTTCTTTGTCATTTGTATCAAGACGCCACGATTTTGCCAGTTATGCAACACGAGAATTCTAATCGATATTAGCGTTCTTCACCCTCGAGAACTATGATGATATCCTCCAGATTCGCTATGATGGTATCCTCCAGATCCGCTGTGGTGGTAGCCACCAGCAGGGCCACTATGGTACCTATCTACATTAGGATAATAAGAATCCTTGTAGCCTCCAAAGTTCATCAAGGATTTAAACGTCATCTGTAAGAAGGTTTATCAACAGTTTACAGAAATGCATCCACAGTTACCATTTTTAACGTCTTTAAAAAAAAAAAAAAGTACCTACCACGTTTGGTACTTCGAAAAAGTTATAAATTTTGAAAGAAATAATTTCAACGGTTGGTAAAAATTTTGATCTGTGCTACTGCTTTCAGTACTTTGCCAAGTATTTAATTCTGAAGGAAAATAAATTATAATAGAAAAATTGTAAATTTAGAAGAAATTCATCAATAGATTCGAACATCGTTTGCAAGTATATTTGCCAACAGAAAAATTAATTAATTAATAATGTATCGGTATAATCGATTTTCAAAGGATCTGTAATTATGCAGGAGAATTCGAATTTTCTTGATAGAAAGCACTTTCGAGTCACAGGTGTCTCACCTTCGACGAATCACCGACAAACGCGCGAAGAAGCTTCCGTCTTTCGCAACCTTCCGTCTTTGCGCGTTAATTCACACTGTTTCGCGCAAGGAACCAACAGTTTGTTCTTCTTGCTTTTTGTCACGGACTGTGATTCTCTTGGCGTTGTTCGCGCCTGTCCGCTGGTTGCACCGGTTAAACGCACAATGTCCTCGTTGTCGCAGAAGCGAAGATAATTTTTGTTATCATGAAGATCTGCAGACACATTGTTCCCTATCTCAGCAACAGAATGTCTTTAAACCAAGTAATTGCTGAGACAGTTGACCTAGTTGGGTTCGAGGAACAAGTAGGATTTTCACGAAGATTCGACACTTAAGGAGGTATTCTGGTCCAGAGGCACGAATTTCGGCCGATTTTTGAAGCTCTGTACAAGCGAAACAAAAAATATTTTTGCTATCCTTCTTTTTAGCATTTGTTTATTGATATTTCGAGATTACGTAAAAAATTCACTGAAAGAAAAGATTCAATATTTAAAAAGTTACGAGCTGGCAAAGTGGGTGCTGCCAAAAAAATGGGGTGTCGTGGCGTGCGTGATATCAACCCTTCTGGTCACCCGAAACAAAAAATGCGAACGGATTCTTAATTAGTATGGATGCCGCTATCGTCTGAACCTTGGAAAAGTCAATACGACATTTTTTCGCAGAATGACGGCCGTTTGAAAAAAAATTTCTTATTTCGCACGTTTTTTTGACAATTCCGAACGCTTAAAAAATAGTAATATTAAGGATTTTGAGCTAAGCGTGGTCCGGACGATAGAGGAGTATATAAGGAATATTCGGACCAAATTTAAAAGAAATCGGTTCGTTAGAACTTGAGATATCGTACACGCCAACTCGGAAAATGTAGTTTCGAGAAAAACGCGTTTAAAGTTTTATTGCACGTTGGTCCCGGTCGGACCGGAGCAGATGTTGCGTCACAAAAATGGCTGTAACTTATAAAATAATTGAAATTTCGAAAAATCCTTTTAAAGGTATATTCTTGAATGTCTAAACTTTGGAAATACGAAAAAAATTTTCGATTTTTTCAAATTCCTAGTCCAAAATAGCCCCTTAACTTCGATTCTTTGAATCTTTAAATCTTTGGATCTTTCAATTTCTTCATTTTTTAATATCGAGGGATAAGGCGGGGCAGCCAGCTACGCTCGTTGAAGCCCAGAACTGAAGACGACGCGTCGCGAGTTCGAATCCTCGGCATAAAGGACTTCGAAAAAGGGACGGAAAAACCAAAAATATCGAGGGATAAAAAAAAAAAACGTCATTCAGATATTACACGGAACCTTTGTTAATAAAAAAGATTGTGGTAAGAAAATTTACACTATTCACCTGTCTTATGTTGATTTCTGTTCCAAATCAAAGAGACTAGACAAAAAGTAGCGTTACATTTTACATGAAAATTCGACTTAATCGTGATTCTAAATGTTGTAAAAGGCGACCGATTTAATCGGTCGATCGATGTGGTGGGTTCGTTGAACGACAGCTTCGGAAAGAGGATCACCGTTCTCGTTTGGTCTCGACACGGTTCTCGCGTATGAAGCTAAATGAAATCTTTAACGAAATTTGTCGTTGCGTTTAATTTAGAGGATTACCGAGACGACTGTCCTGGTTGGATTCAAAGAACTGTGAATGTTCATGAGTATTTTGATGAAGATTTAACGCTGATGACGCCAGCAACGATTTTCAGAGAGCGTCGGTTAGCTCGAGGACTTTTAAGAAAGGAAAGTTGTCACAGCGAGAAGCCAACGCGACTTTGGTCCAATAATCGGCGTATTAATTGCCTTAATTGTTATTAATGAATTTTATGTAGAGGACGCGCGCAAAAATAACGAAAGCGAGAGTTACAAATTTGTACAAAAGATTTGAAAATTTATAATTTATAATTGAAGGACTAAGGATTTTGAAGGATTTCGTGGACTAAGATTTATCAATAAGACCGTTTATTAATTTCAATTGAGATATCATCGTACCGCACATCATACATACAACTTACGTCTAAGAGATACGCTAACTGAGCTAAATAGAACAGAACGTGGCTATTGTGAAAAAAACTCCACCCGTGTGTTTGTTTGTTTGTGTGTGTGTGTTTACGTGTATACATATATAATACCTATATACAATAGATAATTTTGAGCGGGTGATAAAACAAACACAATATCCTGAGACGTTAACTCGTAAAAAAGAAAACTAGGGAGGGGCATTCCAACGTACGAATTTCCTCGAATCCCATTGGAACAAGCCAGAAAAAAAGATTCGAAGAAACTCGTCAATCTGATTTACCAAACGTAAAACATCCGACAACTCAAAGCTCGTCTTCCTCCCCGAAACGAAGAAACTGTCTCGCTAAATGCGAACAAGCTAGAGATTAAATATTGAAGATGTCGACTCGGATCGTGGCAAAAAGAAAACGCAGATTCAATTCAAACAGAGATTAACAATGCAGATATTACAATTAACGTTCGATAATTGATTTTCAAGGAAAAGAACGGGTCCTCCCTTTGCGTGGTAGCTGTTCGAGTCTCGACTACAGGCTAACTCTATGTCCACTAAGTTCAATAAATAGAAATAAATATCGTGATTGTCGTAGAGACCTGTCCAAACGGTACACAGTTCGTCCAGGCCCTGGAATCTCATTCAGTCTACATCTACTTTAAAATGTATTATACTCTCGCCATTGTTTCGTGCACGGCCTCTTCTCACGCGTATTCCTCTCTGTCGCGAACTCCTTTTACGTAAATGAACTCTCAGGATCCGCCAGGAACGTTTCCACATCCCAGAGAACTCGGAGAGTTTTATCAATCGTTACGGATTATCGACCAATTAATAGCAACGCTGTCGGACACGTTGATCGACCAATAAATTAACACACTGTTCACTAGCTATTTTATGCAAACATTGATGCATACTGCTTGATATTTTATCCAAAGATGAACGCCTGTATCACCAGCCACAACGTCCGTGCGTGTAAACACGAGTTTACTAGTGACTGGTCAACAATGTATTAAAAACTGATCATTAATCGATCAATAAAACCTATGATTTCGTCAATTCAGATCGGGTCTTACTTTCGTTATAATTTCGCTTCGACTGAGTCTCGGTTCTAAATGTTCCAATTTAAAATTGGTCGATCGATGAGGCAAGTTCGTCGAACGAGAGCTTCGAGAAGAGGATCACCATTCTGGTTTGGTCTCGACACGGTTCTCGCGTATAAAGCTACTCTTCCATCGGTGCGATTTAAACTTCGGCACACGACGATTTTAAACCCGGCCAAGACACTCCAAAAGTTAATAGAAAATCTTTTAACGAAGGAATGATCGTTTTAAACGGAATTCCTCGTTGAGTTTAATTTAGAGAAGTTAGGAATAACCGAGTGCGGTGTTAGTCGCGTCGCAGAAAGTCTAAATCGTACTTGAAGGAATCGAAAAGGGTTTTCATACGGCGTTGCAGTCCATGAACAGGGTTCTGCAATCTTCACCGGTGCGTCCGCGTCGACCTGCTTCGTACAGTGCTTCGAAACCTACTCCGCTCTGCCTTTGGAGCAGGTAACTTGTCGCGTACCTTGAAAATGTAAGAAATTTGATTTATTACTCGTTTATTATTGCAAGTATTACGTTGTTTGTCAGCGTCGGTCAATCACTGTTTTCTTTGTTAATGTTATGTAGATTCACAATCGAGGAGCTTTCTGACAATCCAGTCCATAAGACAAAATGACGAGTTAGGTAGATTGTGTCGAAGATACTTTTAATATTTTGTACACTCTCTAACTACTGTGATACCTGAGTTTTAATTGCTTTGTGTCAACTGTTAATTTGAAAATCTGAAACTTTTCAACTCTGGAAATCTAAAAATGTAAAAATATAGGGATTACAGGATTTAAAAGTTCGAAAACTTGGATTTCGAGAATTAGAAGACTCGTAAGTTTAGAAATTTGAGAATTTTAAACATCGGATATTTGAAAATTTGGAAATGAAATGTGTCAGTGCGACGAATTGAAGAACTTTGTTCTTTTATACGTTTATAGAATAATTCAAATATTTAACTAGAAAAGCATTCATCGCCTATATATATATACTTACTATATATATTCTTCCCAGAAATCTTCTCGATTGGAAGAACACTACAAGAAAAATAAAGGCACTTACGATCCAAGTTGACAGAAGATAGAAGACGTCCCCTGAGCATCTGCAACACACTCTGCACTGGCCTCGCAGAGGGCTCTTTCGGCGCAGCCTCGTTGACCTTCATCTTCCGCACGACCAACGTTATTAAATGACTTCACTGACCTCATGTAGCCCTAAAATAAAAATCGCGTTAACCTCAGAACGGATAAAAACAGAGTAGGTTTATACAAAAAATTATATTTTCAAGTACCTTGAGCATGGAAATGGAGGCGACTGCAGCTTCTGAAACCGTGTCTCGTCTTCCCATAGACCTAGCTGCCAGGGAACGATGAGAGAACGAGGTCTTCAACGCGTCCAGAAGATTGATCACTATGCTAATGAACTGTTTCGGAGAAATTGATCCATTAAATGCGTGTAAGAATTATAATACTAGGCGAAATCAACAGAGCAAAAGCATTATTCTACTCGTGGAAAGCGTACTTTTTATTTTATTTTAGCTTATCGACGCTTCGTCAATTCCTCTGTCATTGATCTTAATAAAATTTTTCACGAAAACTTCATTGTAAAATTTAGAAGTGATAAATAGACTGTGGATTTTTATGCATCTGTGGGGAATTCGAAGATACATAAAATACTTAAAACAGAATGCTGAACCCCCTGAGTATTGCAACACCAACAGCACCAGCGTATGTATACTTTGCTACTGCATCAAATTCGAAGATACAAGATGCAACTTAAAAATACCCAACGATATGCAATCGCTTCTAACCAATAGAAGAAGACAATGTGAAAAATGCCCTAAGTTTCCTAAAGGAGATAAATCTTTTGCACCGCCTATAGAAGTATATAAAACTGTACTAATTCGCTAGCTAATAACTAATTAATTATTTATTCATATTTATGGAATACATGTAATTGTGATTACTTGTTAATATCTTAGCAGGGTGTGTGACGAAGGACAAAAAATAAAACGCATATACGAAGATATATAAAATATCCAAAGTAGAATACTCTGCTTCTTTAGTTATTTAGAAAAATATGTATTTCGTATAAATATCCATAGTCTATATTCTAGTGTATCTTTTGACGAAACGTCAATTAGAAAAAGAGACAGAAGGAGTGAAATCATTCATGTACAATGTGTTCGATCAGGTACTAACCTCGGAAGCGTTTTTAGCCATGACAGCAACCTGATCGGGGTCTCTGCCCTGTCCTAGAAACGCGCCCAGCACCGCAGTCAAAATGCCCTAAACAACCGACACCAGCCATGTGCTCTAAGTTAACATTCTCTGATGATATATTTACAAAGGAGATCGAGTCTGTAACGTTGCCCCAAGCAACAGATTATATTCTATAATTTACACGAAATCACAGTAACGTACGATCTTCAATTACGAAACTATTCTATAATACATTACAATTTTAGAATTAAACAAATATTCCGTCGAACGGTAAGGAAGGAAGTTAGACAAAAGTTAAATCGAAAAGGTATTTTCTTTACCCATTGATAATACTAAAAGACATTATTTTAGGATTTTAGGATTCATAGAATATTTTTAAAAAGTATCGAACGAAAGAGGACGAAGTCGGATCGAAATCGGATCGAAAGGGAAATTAAGTCGTTTAGAAAACGTGAAGATCGTTAACGTGTCCAGGGTCCCCTTAATTGCAACAGCAGACAGTAGAGCTCGTTAAGGGAAGTAACAGCTCGTGTCGACAAACGACTCGTACGTCGTTGTGATTTCTCTTTTAAAAAGAATTGCGTACAAAAGTAAGAGGACGTAGAAGCGACGATATTATTTTACAATGCGTGCACGAACGACACGTTCCATCATAGATAGAAAAACAGCGATATCTTCTTCTCGAATTCTAAACGAATATTTCTTTAGGAGAAAGACGAACGTCTCTCCGTGTTCCGTTTCATGCTCAGCGATGTACAGTTTACAGCGTAGACGTGCTACTAATTCTAATTTAGGCCCGCCGTCCACGAAGTGTCGCTTCATAGAAACGTAAGCGTAATCTATTAGACATAACGATACGTCTCAGATGTCGAGTACGCTACTGAAAATGTTAAACACTTGTCGTCATGACAAGAACGCGCAGCAACGAAAACGGTTTGCCGATGTTCAGGCGCACGTTGCTTTACGACGACCGCACTGAAGCTCGGTCTGCACATCGAAAAAACATGTCATGATGCATCGACACTCAGCTTTTTCGAAATCTGCATCAGTTTTAACCTACGTTGAAACACATGTTTCAACATATTCGATTATTTTCCAACTCCAGTATTGTCGTCATCAATCGGACTATCGCAGATCATAAATTGATCGATATGTCGATTATAAAAAAATACAAAATTAAAGATTCTCCTCGAGAGGAAATTTATTTCCTACGAAATCGTATTCGGTATCCTAATTCCTATATCGATATGAGATAATTTCTATACAAATCCGCCGATACAGATCTACGTACACTGTAACGTGTCTGACGAAAGCTGCTTACCGATGCATGGTAATATGTTTCGACGCGTAAAATTTCGTTTCACTGTTGGTATCAACGCGCTAATACGCGTCTATGAAGCGACGCTTCGTGGATAGCGGACCTTAGCTATTCAAATGTACAGCGTTACTGGAATCTAGACAAAATGCTACGAAAGGAGGGGTCGATCGAACGATTCCATGGTAAATACATCGAATCGTAGACAACATTCTACTAGAATTTGAAGAAAATTCTACAAAAAGTTCTATAAAACTATATGAGTGGCTATTACCATGGAATAATTCAGTTGAGCCTACAATGCGTTTGACCCAGATCGGTTCTCGCGGTACAGTCAGTTCAGCTTGTGCTTGCTTTCGTTACGCGACCCGAATCAAGATGAAAGTCTCGGAAACTCGCTGTTCCTGTTGCGCGAAACCGTTTCAAGTAACCCTCCGATTGCTTTCTAACTCTGTTTCTTAGTCGCGAACATGTCCAATATTAATTCCGATCAAGTATACAAAGTTTTCTAATAATCACGGTACAAAGGGAAATGATTCCGCGTGAAAAAGCAAGTCGAAGACATAGAGCAAACTTTGCTCGTACGTCGTTTTGCTTTCGAAAAAATCGAGTTTCAAAAGTCGTCAGCTATACCCGAACTTCGCTAATTGCGGACCGAACGATAGCGAATAATCAGCAGGAAATTTATTCTACGCGCGAGAATTAGTCGAAAATATAGAATAAAATTTGGTTTTGAATAAAAATAATTTTGGAAATTCGTCACACGCCTGTACGAGGTTAAATTCTTAACTAGAGATGATCAAGCTCTATTTCTGTGAAAACAATTTAAACAATTAGTCTAACGAGGCTTTAAAACAATTAGTAGATTATTCCCCGACACCAAGCAAATTTTCAAATTGGATTTTCTCAAAAACAAAGCGCTGCCTGAAGAAATTATATTCTATATTTTCGACTTATTTTTTCACGTACGACCATCCCCCTGCCGATTAATAGAACGTGCCGTGACTAATAGAACACGCTGTATGTTATCATGAAACGTATCGCAGCATGAACATACCTAAAAAATGATACGTTTGATTTTTAGGTAATGGATGGACTAAAGATTCTACGAAATTTGACGTGGAAGCGGAAATGACCGTAATCAAAGGGAAGAAATGTGTGATGTTGTTGCGAGAGTACCTGCATGGGGCTGCTCTGATTGTCAACCTTGTCGATACCATCGACAGGTTGTTGAGGACCTCCTAGAAGAGCGGTGAGCACCCTGAGTCCTACTGACAGTAAATTTGCCCAAGGACTGGCTGGTGCTCCATCGTCGATCTCGTTTTTGCTTGGACCGGCTACACCGCCTGTTTGCCCTAAGAGCATCTGCATCAGCATGCTCAGCATGTTCGACCACGAAAACCCGGTACTGCTACCTTCCTGGTGGAACAAAACGGAGAAACGTTTAGTCTAAAATCGAGAAAATGGAAGTTCGAAACGAATCAATTTGCATGAGAAGAAATAAATATCAGGTTGTCCCAAAAGTTCCTTTCGTTTTACAAGGAAATAACAGATGCACGACATTCTTTATTTTATATTATTTCATTGAATTATGTGTTTTGTACTATTGCTATAAAATGGATCATACATTGACTTATGGCAAATTACATTGGATCATATTGAATTATGTATTTTCTTTTTTATTACTACAAAATGGATCATACATAATTCAATAAAATAATATAGAAAGGAAGAGAATGTTGTGAATCTATTACTTTCTTGTAAAGAGAAAAAAACTTTCATAGACAACCTAATACGACTATAAATGATGATGTTAATTATTATTATTGTATACTACATATGTATAATAATGGACAACAGAAAATTTATAAAATAAGAGGTGTGAGAGTAAGCCAACGTAATTTTCTACCAAGAAAATTCTTATTTTTCTTCTTTTTTTAAGTATATTCTGAAAAATATAAATCTGCATAAAAATTCGCAGACTAATAACATATGTATGTATACACCGTGGGATAGAAGACTGTTAGCAATATGGTAAAAAATATTTTGTACTAAAGAGTTACTAAAATACATAGTGTATCGATTTAAAAAAAAAAATTAAAAAATGTTTCTAATAGTTTACTTGAATCTGATTGGTGCTGATGTCGTCCAGGTCATCGAGGGCGACCTTCTTCATGGCGTTTGGCTTCTCCGCGAATTTCCTCTCGTCCCTCACCTGCTGTTGGAACTGTTGCGGATATTGAGGATGCTGTGGCAGTGATGCTGCTTGTCCAAGAACAAGCGCCACCAAGCATAGCGACACGTACTGATTGTATTTCATTCTGAAAAGAAAATTCAACCTTCTCCATCATCGTCGATCAATACCAAAAGAGCGATCGATTCGATGATTAATTAAAAAAGAGAGTCCTTCGTCACAAGTAAATGTAGTAAGTCTGATGCAACACTCTCGCTCTCTCTCTCCCTCTCTCTCTCTCTCTCTCTCTCTCTCTCTCTCTCTCTCTCTCTAACATCGAATGACTCAAAAGAGAAAACACGGATGGAGGGCCGAAGTTCAAGAAGAATTCAAACTCTTTATATGGAATCAGAAAAATGTCACAGCTTCCGTTCTTAACGCTGCTACGATCCTCGGATTTGTATGTTTCAATCTTGCTCTCACTGTTGCAAACGAAAAGGTTTTTAGTATTTTAAGAGAATGTTTAACATGAGATAATATTTAAAATAAAGTTGAAATTGTACACACCAATAAGAGACTTTTGACGATGAGAGGAGGCAACAGCAGAACTGAATTTATTTTTCTACCTCTTTTCCTTCAAACAATTATATGCTCTCTCAAGGAAGAGAGTCCTTAATTACGCGTAAATGTAACTGACGCCACGCTCTCTCCAGCATCGAATGACTCAAAAGAGAAAACAAGAACGTAGAACCGAATCAAGAGGAATTCGAATTCACTATATCGATTCACGCTCCAAATATGTCGCAGCTTCCGGTCTTCAATTTATTCATCTATCTGCTTTCTTTTGAATGATTGAACGAATACTATAATAACTACGAACTCTCTCAAAATTTCTAGAATCAAACTTACAAACAGATGAAAATAATCTTCCACGTCGATTACTAAATCGCGAATGTTTATACAGATTCACGCTCTTATGAACACAATTACCAAAAATGAAATTTAAATAGAGATTTCTTTCATCTTTTACGTACTACGAAGAAATACAGTAGTTTGGATACTCTTTACATTTTTGTATCTAAATCTGGTGAATGAGAATTCAATATGAATGAAAGTAACCATACAAATTCATACCCTTGGAAACATGATTAAAGGGAATGAAATTTAAATAAAGATTTTGCCCATCTTCTGAATACTGCAACGAGTATCGTACTTTGGATACTCTTCACATTTTTGTATCTAAATCTGGTGAATGAGAATTCAATATGAATGAAAATAATCATACTTTGAATGAAAATAATCGCACTTTGGAAATTTTCTATATTCTTGCTTTTAAACTTCCCGTAAATGCAACTGCACTTTGCCAGTCTATCGATTACAAATATTCAACCAGAAGTACCTGGTAACCGGAGCGGGAAATAATTTTTCTTTTTTTTTTTTTTTTTGATATGCCATATAATGTAGAAAGACATAGTGGCCAGAGAAGATTCTACATATTCTTAATTAATACAAAAAGAGGATCGTAGGATGTACACGGTTCCGTGATCTCGATGGAAGGCTACGTTCATCTAGGTAGTCCGGTATCGATAACCTTGATCTTGAGCCTCGGAGCGTTGGTGAGGAAAAAGCGAAGCGATCGCGGGCACGCGAAACGAATAAAGCGGAATGGTACTGGCGTAAAGCGGAGGAACGACGCATCGAGCGACAGGAAAGTGTGTCAAAGCGGTTAAGGTCATCCTGGCAACACCAAGTAGCCCACTTCTCGATCGAAGCTACCGGTTTGTTGAACCCGGCAGGTACCGTTACCTGAAAACGCGGTCGCGACCTACTGACGTCTTCCTCGTCCTCGACTGTACCGGTTGGTTAGTCGCGGAAGAAAAATAAATAAATAAAAAAATGAAAGGAAGAACGTTGCCCAGCAAAAGGAAATCATAGAAATCCGATCTCCCTGGGTAATTAAAAAGGGAGTTGAACAAGTTTCTGATAAATGTTCGAGAAAATTAAAGTGGAAGATTGAGTACGATCGACATGTAACAATATACGATACAAATAAAAGAAAGAATTAAGGAACACTTCTGTGTTTTGGCGATGATTATTCATAGGTAAAGAAAGAATTTAAAAAAAAAAGTTCGTTCGTTTCTTGCATTCAATGATAAAACGTAAGTGAATAGAGGAATTCCAAGGAATGGTTTTCGAAAGCAAATAGAAAAGACGTAGCGTGAAGCCACGCCTCTCGAAAACGGTACCTGCCGCGGAGGAAAAATCGCGAACGATTTCTAACTGTTGCCGGCATCTGTAAAAGGCATTTGCTACCCGTTCCTAGCTCGTCGAATTCGTTCGCGTATCGTCGATTTCTAGCACGACAGAAAGAATCTTCCATATTCGATGCCCTTACATCGAACGTTGATACTCTCGACCATGGAACAAGTGTCATAAATCGAGCTTAAAATTATTTTCGTTGAAAGAGCGATCGAACCGAGCTTTTGAAATTATATTCCCACGGGTCCAGACTATGTAAGTACGAATGCAAAATGATCTGTCAGAATTGGAACTGGAAAAAAATGGAAGAGTTCGTTGAACGATCGTACGAGAGAATTTCGATAATTTGAACGTTAAATCGCAGTAATCGGAGGAAAGTAACGTGTGATACGCGAGTGTCGACGTATCTGGGCAAACTGTAAGGTACTTACTTCGTTACTTCCAGGTAGACTTCCTTGACACTGACTCTCAGTTCTGAAGATGAAATTCCACGCGAGGTGTTCTATATAGCTTGCGGATTCACGTGGGGGTAAGCCGCACGGCCAATGACCACACACCTTTGGCACTATTTTCAATGGAACGGACCAATCCTCTGCCGCTTCTGTTCGCTGTCGATCCCGAAGGTCTACTTTTCGAATACTTTTCGTCCAGATTTTACGGTTTCAACATTCCACCAGCCTTTTATCGCGATCGAATACTCTCGCACAAAACAATGTACGAACGAACGTTCGGTTACCGAGTTTTCCCTCCTTCCCTATGTTTTTGCTTCGTTGATTACTGAAATTATTTCTGACAAAGTTCAAAGGATGCATCTCGTAGTTTAATTATAATTCGCGTCTGTCCGGAACTGAGCTCGTGCTATATCATTCTCAAGCGTAGCTCTGCCATGGCTAGAACGTGGATACTTATGTATCTATGAGAAATTTCAAAGAGCAAGATTATAGCGCATAGATGTACACGATACTAGCTACTAATTAACCGTTAAGAGAAATAAAACAGAATAGCAACATTATGTAAGAATTAGGAATCCGATAGAAGAATCTGCTGTACTATAAGAAACTGGAAGTAAAAATCCAATCGATCTGCTTGTAAGAGGCTCTGAGCCTTGTAAAAGAAACAAATAGAAACATATAAAATATGCAAAGTGTAGCATCATGGCGTTCAATATGTGAAACAGATCTCCGGTCGCGTTACATTTCTCCAATAGCATTTATAGAAGTACAAATACAAAGTAGAGTGTGAGAGTGTCCAGTCACGACTGTTTACTCGAAAATGCAAATTCCACGAGACCGCAAAAATCTGTAATCATTGACGCTAGCGGTTTTTTCTTCCCAATGGAATAATTTTTCTACCTACTTACGGCATCGTTCCGAGCTTTCTTGTTTTCCTCGATTCCGTCGAGTTTATCAAGACGGTTAACACAGGCCAGTTAGAATACAAACGTATCGCGAATGAGATAAACTTTTCAACCGTTCTCCGGCTGTATCGTGTCATTAGTTCCTTCCAATAAGAACCACACGAAGGATTTCTAAAACAAACGTATAAAAGATGTTGGAAACTTTATCGTTTAATTATCTAAAGAAGGTCGATGTAGTCGAAGGTGTCGGTGAATATTAGAATATCCTGTTCGCACCGGCATCAACCAAACGAATTGGACGCGAAATAAAACGACGATGCATCGATCGATCGTTGGATTGGCCCATTCGCTCGTCCACAGCCGGAGGCTTTCCTTTTCTTCTTGAAGGCCCATTTCGCGTTGCGTGCACCCTAGACTAGGCGGTCGCGATTCATCATAACTGTTTCAGTAGCGGGATGCTGGAGTCGTGTCTTCTTATTAGGAGCATCTCGCTAATCACCGCGTATAAGAGCGACCTGCAATTCGCGAAAAAAATAAGTCGGACCTTCGGTGAACGTACTTGCGTACGTGTATTCGATTTTCTACGTTTCATCGTTCTTTGATACTTTTGATCAGTGGTCTATCGGTGTACAATTTTCGGACGCTCTATGAAAGAAATTCGATAGAAGAATTTCATTAGAACAATCGGGGACGGATTTACCTCGACGCTAATGACGCTGTAAACCCCGGAAAGCTATGAGGACCGGGAGGTGGCTGTCGAAAAGCTTGATGAACGATCTTCGGAATTACATAAAATACGTTTGTTGGTAGGCGAAGACTGGGACTATGATTTTAGTTTGGCTGGTACGATATCTGTTGAATCAACACGTATAGAATGTTCGAGATGGCCATCGAGCGCTCCATGTTGTATTCTGAAGTGTTGTGGAGGATCCTTGCGTTTACTAGAATACGTGAAAAACAATTGAATCGAACGGGACTCGCTTACCATGACAGTTTTGAAGACGATTCTACACTGACCATCGTATCGTGCGTATCTTGTGACAGATTACCCGGAGGATAAAGATCATTTAGAAACTGAGATTAAAGAGATCGTTTGGAGACGTAAATATCAATTTCCTATTGGTTTAACAGGCATCCGTTTGGTCAGGATAAACTTCTTTTAAATTTGGTTTACCTCAGAGCCCCTAGAGGGTTAAATCCGCCACTGAGCACGTATATATATATAATATAAATCCTTGGGGTAAATAAGACGATCGATTCTGGAAAATCAAGTTTATTTTGGGAATAAATTAAATTATATACAATAACAGTTAATAATAAATCTACTATAGATTTTACCTGTCGTACAAATGTTACCAATCGAGAATCGATTTTCTAAGCCCTAACTTACCGTTCTTCTCTCGTGATCTAATCTATTCAGTAAGATGGCTGCCGGTAAAACAAAGCAAAAGTAAAAATGTCGGTTGGCGGGTAGTTTGAATTCTATAGAATTTACATATATATATATATATATATTATAAAAATTAGTATACAGCTTGGATAGATATCTCGAGCATGGATGATTAAACTACTTTTACGGGCTCTACGAAGTACACATTTGTATTAAATATCTTGTAGCTGCTAAATATTTTTAGGTTCGTTCCAAACTTTATCGATACAATGACGATGATCGTGTCTCATGTAGTTATATAATATGTCTCATAAAGTAGGAATTGTTAATCAATTTCAAGATTGAAGTATTATTAGATACTTAAAACGTTGTTCGTTGAACACGGTGTACATTATATGTATATACGTCATAGATGGATAGTAACGTAACGGGACTAACAAACGACCTTCAACAAGGTGAACTAATTCTTCCGTAGAAGTAAAAGGTCCATCGGAAGTACTAATTCCTTCTTTCCTTTCTTCCTACTTCTTGTGTCAATTGGAGCGAATAAAAAGAACGTCTTCAGTTTAATATTTTGACAAAGGGAAATGTTTACCATGAATTTTGTATAAAAAAAAGAAAAATAAAACACATAGGAAGATATAGAATCAAAGAAAGATATTAAATACGAAGATTATCTACAGAAAAGCACAATACGCAAATTCCAATTTGTTCAATAATCCCACATAGGTTTAGTGCCATGCAAGAATCCGTTGTAACTTCTACGATCCCAATTTTTCTCATAAGTCCATGTCATTAGAAATGATACATTGCCTGTATGTATGAAGCATCATTAACGTTTTCTACTAGAATTTTTTTACTTTCTAAACATTTGTTCACTTTCTGAATAACTTAAAAACACTATATTCTTTATCTGTTCAATATTAGTATCAGTACCATCGGTAAGGTAGATTCCGCTGAAAAGTAGAAAGCCTGTATACCTAAAGGCGCACTTTTTCGATAAATTGGAATCTCAGGAAAAAATCCGATGTTTCTAGTAACGGGAACTGTTTGAACGTTCGTTAGCGTGTTTTAGATACAAAGAAACGGTAATTCATATGTGCACGCTTCGCTTCGATATAGCTTTTCAAATTTTTGTAGGCTAAGCTTCGCTTCTGTCTGAAATGCCGTGTCCCGTGCATGAATGGCATCACGCTCGTTCCTCCCGAACGAACCTGGGAAAATTATCGGTGTTCCGGCATCTATAATAAAGCTGAAAAGAATAAAAGATCCAGTCCGCTATTAGACCTTTACCACTGACACAGAAATGCAATGGTACATTAACGAGCGTGAACCAGTCATTTCTGTTTGCCTCTCTGTCAGTTTCCTTCGTGACCGTTTGCCTCGTCAAGATTATAATTATCCTTTAATAAATTCAATCCTACTACATCGAGAATTCAATATACCTTTTACTTACGTATAATATTTATTTATAGTGCATGTACTATCTTTATATTTTATTTCGAAATAAACTTTCGCTGCAAACGATCCTCACAGTATGAATGAAACTTTTGGATGACGGTCTGGCTCTCATTTTAATAAAATAACTTTAAATTTTTTCAGAAAAATGTTAGTATAAGTTTGAAATAAAAAAATATATATAATTAATACCACTAACGATTCATTCATAACTTTCTGAGATTTGAAAAAATTTTAACAACAAAAGAGGTACAGTTAGGTGAAAGACAACTTAAAAAACATAATTAAAGGAAAAAGAAATAATATACGGGGTGAAAAGTAAAACAGGTAAGGTAAGCGGAAAATATAGATTGGATAATATAATTTCAGAAACCTAACTCAGAAATTCATTTTTATGGGTACTTAGTGGCAAACGAATTTCATTTTGTATTACATACTGGTAGAATATCTATTACAGCTACTTGACATACAAAGTGTCAGGATAGCGGGAATCGTTGAATGTATTCTATCATTTGTATTCTACCTTCCTTTTCTTGCACGGTGCATAATAATTGTTACTTTGCAATTCATTCTAATGAAAAATGATCTATGAATTTCATATTAGAAATAATGGGGTATTGTTTTATTGCATGTTTAAAAATATTCTTCTCATTAAAAAAATATAATAATTAGAGTGATATTTCAACATATACATGTAGCTACTTTTATAGAAATACTTTTGTAATATTATATTCCCTTGCTAATATATTATATATATGTAGAGCTTTTATTCAGGTTCGCGAGATTATATTTATTAAAATTCATATCCTTAACCTTTAACAGATGCATAATATCTTTAACAATGAATGATGATTCAGATAAAGATAATGGCAATCTACTTCCGCTATTAATAAGAAAGCTTTTGATAAATGTGAAGATTTTAAATAATTAAACGCTTCGTTCATTTGCAAAATAAGATTGTTTTATTCAATTCAATTTGCAATTTTACAAATTGTAAATAAATTTTGTAATGAATTCATAATTTTCCGTTTAATAATTTGTGTAATTGTGTAATTTTATAATAACTTGATTCCGTTGTACGACCGATGAAGCTAAAACAACTCTTCTCGTACGAAAATGAACCAAAAACTTATAGGTTCCCGTCACGCGATGATAATGAAACCAATATTGGATTACTTAGAAAGTGTAAATTGAATTACAGATTTTGATCTAGCTCTGCCTTTAGTTCTAAACTGTAGACTAAGTTACTCTTTTAAAGAGTTCTATAAAAAAAGAAATAAATTAACTTCGTTAAAATAAATGCATGCTTTATATAGAAAACGAAAGTTTTAAAGAAGAAAAGATTGTACATATTATATATATATATATATATATATATATATATATATATATATATATATATATATATATATATATATATATATATATATATATATATATATATATATATATATATATATATATATATATATATATATATATATATATATATATATATATATATATATATATATATATATATATATATATATATATATATATATATATATATATATATATATATATATATATATATATATATATATATATATATATATATATATATATATATATATATATATATATATATATATATATATATATATATATATATATATATATATATATATATATATATATATATATATATATATATATATATATATATATATATATATATATATATATATATATATATATATATATATAAGATCATAAATATTTTAAGAAGTTTGAAGTCATGAAGTAGGGATAGGTGAAAATAAAAATAAAATGTGAAACCAGGTAAAATCTAGTAAATCTAGATAACCATTAAGGATGACAGAATTCTTCTCAGCTAGCAGAAAAGAACCTGCTTGCGGTTACCAACTTATTTGTCATTGAACATATAAGACATTGATGACCGCCGCGTTACTTTACTTTAACAGTTGCGATCCTAACCTCATAGTTCGTGACAGGCAGATTTTGGTGTTGTTTAGTCGTGTTGCAATTGCGCTCAAGACAGTAGAAAGAATTATTCCTAAAAATGGAATGTTTAATCGGAATACAATTTAAAGATTTTGTTTTAGTTGCGGCTGATATGACTACAGCTCAATCTATTATGGTTATGAAAAACGGTAAGAAATTAAACGGTTGATTACAACCTAAAAAATACTTCCAGATAAATTATTTGTTTTATTATTAATTTTCTGTTACAAGTATTATTGAAGTATCAAATTTGTAATTCTGTATTTGTAATTTGAAGTATTGATACATATCTATTTATAATTATAAGATATTTACGTAGTAAATGCAAGTCACTTTATATATTTCGTTGATTCTGTTACTTCAGATGAAGAAAAAATTCACAAAATGTCTGATAAGCTTATTATGGCAGTATCTGGAGAATCTGGGGATACTACACAATTTTCAGAATATATAGGAAAAAATATACAGCTTTACAAAATGAGAAATGGCTATGAATTATCTCCAAAAGCAGCTGCCTCTTTCACCAGAAGAAACTTAGCAGATTATCTTAGAAGTAGAACACCATATTTTGTGAATTTATTAATGGCTGGCTATGATGTAAATAGTGGACCAGAATTGTACTTCATTGATTATCTAGCATCATGTGTTAAAGTGCCCTATGCAGCGCATGGCTATGGAGGCTTTTTCTCCCTTTCCATTTTAGATAGATATCACAAATATGGTAAGAAAGACTATTAAGATCAGATTTACATTAATGTTTATTTTGTATATGGTATTATTAATACAAATTTTTTATCAAAATATGCCGCATACACTATTCTATATTACAGATTCAACGGAAGAAGAAGCATACATACTATTGAAAAAATGTGTCAGGGAAATACACAAGCGATTAATAGTTAATCTTCCAAATTTTAAGGTACAAAAGGTATCTAAGGAAGGTATAAAAGAATTGGAACCTATCACAGCAAAGAACTTGGCTATTGAAGATGCTGATAAGGCATAAAGTATCTATTTTTATTCATACTATTTGTAATATTATTCGCAATTCAAAGAATAAATGTTTTAAAATGAGGTAATATCGCTAATCACTACTTTTTGAATAGAAAACCTATAGGCAATCACATAAAAAAGATAGAATGAATAAATGAAAAAAAATGTAGTTTTATTATGTTTTCGATGTTTACACATTTTTTTAACTAAACACGCTTTATAAAATCCATTTTTTAAATAAGTTTTATCAATTAAAATATTGTTATATTATAGAAAAATTGTATATATTTAACAAAATTAGAAATGGAAAAAGAAGTTACTAACAACAAATCAAAAAATTATTTCAATTTTTGTAATCA